AACCTTTTTTTTTTTTTTTTTTTTTTAAATGAAAACTTAGATATTGATATAACCACATAACTCCAGGAGCTGAGACCCTAGGAATGTTTCTGTGCCTTAATTGACTCTAGTAAATATATATATGCACAATAGCGATCTGTTCAAGTTCATTTATTGGTCATGTGGAAAGACACCAACTCAAACTAAGGACCTGCCAATTTTTTGTTTTAAAAATAATCTTTTTTTTGTTTTGGTAGAAGGGAACAGTTCACTCTTCTGCTCATAGCAGGGAAGTGCTGGACTTCTTTAGTCAAACAGTATGGATCTAAAGCTGAAAAGCAGTGCTCCAGTTTTCAGCCAAAATGGAAAAGTGTGGGTCCGAAAGTAAGGTTGAATAACTGAAGTATATTTAAAAGGCTGTGATCGTTTTTTGTCATTTTCTGCTCACTGATCTAGCATAACTGTTTAGATCCCTGACACTGAAATACATTTCTTCACTTACCCTGAAAACATGTATGCACCTGCTTAACTTTACCCATGTATAGTCCTGCAATGGAACTATGCACATGAGTAAAGGTAAGCAGAGATTTAAGACCTTGATCCTGCAAAGTCTTTAACTTGACTTACAAGGTACGACTCCTATTTATAATGTTAGGCATGTGTGTAAGTGTTTGCTAGATCAGAGTGTAAGTGTGTGTGGTCTTGAGGCTTATATTTTACACTAATAAACTGATCTTATGTGCAAGTCTGGTAGTGAATTAATTTCCTCCGTTAGGCAGAAAAAAATCAGCATAAAAGATAAGAGGGAAAAAAATCTTAAATCCAGCCCCTTCTTCCTAGCAAACAAGTAGAACCTCCCCTTATTTCCCCTCCCCCTAAAACAAATAAACAGAGTGGGTCATTATCAATTTAACATAAAGAAGGGCCCAAGCTGTGCACTTCAGATCCCAATCTTTCCCTCCCCAGAGCTCAGGAGCACTGAACAGAAACCGTTCATTCATAACCCAGCAGGCTCCATCGGCATCACTAATACTGTGTCTAGGAGTGTGGGAAAGCAGGGCCTGGAAATACTGCTGCCCTAGCCACAGTGTCTTTTTGTCTTTGTGCTCTTTTCCCCTGCAGATGGTGATGTAAGAACGAATCCCTCCGCTGTCCACCTGGTCTCCCTTAATAGCAACATCCATATTGTTGAGAGTACAAATAGCTGAGCAGGTGTGAAACAGATAGTGCAAAAAAACCTCTGCCATGCTTCTGAGATGGATTTCCTTGTTGTGTCTGTTAGTACTAATTGAGACTCAGAGAGTTTGACACTGCAGACACAGCTCTGCTAGGGCAGTTCTTGACTTGAAGTTGGCATCTGTTGGTACTGTTAACTTGTTCCTTTTCTCCTTGTTCTGTCCCTGCATGTTGATGAATAGATTCCCATGAAGGCACAGGTGGGGAATATGCCGTGGAGGAAGTACTGCATGATAGAATAATTCATTCACAGAACAATTTGATTAATAAACCTGACACTTCGCCAGAGAAGTCTTTGCCTTTTGAGTTTAGATTTGGTTTCTGCTGTGAATGCACACAAATAGTTCTACCAACAGCTGGCTGTACTGAAGAAATCCTTTGGAAGAACATGTCAGAGACACTGCATGCAGCTTGCCTTCTAGCAGCGAAACAGCCTGTTCCTCTTGCTCGCTAGCCCATGATAGCTGCTCTACATCAGTGGCTCTCAATCTTTCCAGACTACTGAACCCCTTTCAGGAGTCTGCTTTATCTTGCGTACTCCCAAGTTTCACCTCACTTAAAAACTACTTGCTTACAAAATCAGACATAAAAGTGTCACAGCACAGTATTACTGAAAAATTGCTTCCTTTCTCATTTTTACGATATAATTATAAATAAATCAATTGGAATATAAATATAATACTTACATTTCAATGAGTAGTACATAGCACAGTATAAACAAGTCATTGTATGATTTTTTAGTTTGTCCTGATTTTGCTAGCGCTTTTTATGTAGCCTGTTGTAAAATTAGGCAAATATCTAGATGAGTTGATGTACCCCCTGGAAGACCACTGTGTGCCCCCAGGGCTACGTGTATCCCTGGTTGAGAACCAATGTGCTAGATAACAAGGAAGATTCTACTAGGCTGCTAGTTTTCTGTCACTTATACTTTTGTACTTTCTGTGTTGAGTACACAAGGATCCTTTTCTCCAAGAACCATGCTACCATTTTGGTTTGGTAGCACTTCACATCCACTTTGACTCACTTTGCCCAGGTGTTTTATAGATTTTTAAGGCTGGAAGGGACCATGCAAGACATACAGTTTCAGATAGGAATTCCTGCATCTAGACCAACAACATGTGATTGGTCATCAGAGGGTTGAGCACAATGTCTCAACTAAAGAGGCAATCAAGTGACAAAGAGTTGGAGGAAAGGAAGCTTAGAGTGGTGGCATCTGTGATTCTGGGAGCCCCACAATGTCAACTGGCAGAGGGCCCCCCAAACAGTAACACCCATCAGTCCTGACACACACATTGCCCCCAACACACTGTTGTCGTTATATATCTATAGCCCAAGGGTGTTATATAAGATATCATATGTAAACTGGTGACGCACTGTTCATGAGTACCATTGACTAAAGCATGGATGGATGGTTACATATCTGTGCTGGAAATATGTTACAGGGGAAGACTTGATAAACACACTTGGCTTAGACAGAGGTATGTGGATCTACCTGTCTGAGTCAAGCTTTGTAAGTCAGAGGACAGTGGAGAATACATTTACATATAAGGTAAACAAAGCCATCAAGCTAAATAAGTGGGGGAGAAGACTGTTTAACAATCATGCCAGGGTCAGAATCTGCAGCCCAGGAAGCCTTTCTGGATCTTGAGGCAGAGACAATGGACTTTGAGTAATAAAAAGGGACCAAAAAGACTTTTTGGCTATCCACCGCAAAGGGAACATAGGGTACACTACCCTTTGAGCCTGTGAAAGTTGGATCCCCTAGTCCAGGGGTTCTCAAACTTCATTGCACCATGACCCCCTTCTGACAACAAAAATTATGACACGACCCCAGGAGGGGGGGACCAAAGCCTGAATCCACCCAAGCTCTGCTGCCCTGTGTGGGGGGGAGGGCCAAAGCTGAAGCCCAAAGGCTTCAGCCCCATGGCAGGGGGCCTGTAACTTGAGCCCTGCCACCCAGAGTGGAAGCCCTCGGGCTTGGGCTTTGGCCTGGGGTGGTGGGGCTCAGGCTTT